AGAATCAATAAATGATTACATCACAGCAGTTCCTAGAGTTTTCGATAAAGGGCAGATGTATCATTACACATCATTCTCACAGCAATATCTGCCCTTCTTTGGCCACCAAACACATTTTATGGCTTTGCATCGTGCAAGGAAGGGTTACAACACATCAGGTTATTATTTTCCCTTAACTTCCTGTCCTGGAGAAAGGAGGCAAAAGCTTCCCAAAGCGAGAGGAATTCCCATCTTAGATAGTAGTCACTGGAACATATTGTATGTCCCCAGTGGATAATTTCCTCACATTGTCTCAGTGATAATGGTCACCAGGACAAAGCGAGGTAAAATCTCCCTAGCCAGGTCATGGCTAGCAAAAAATTTAAATAATCAAATCCAATACAATTAGGGCTTATAGGAAAATTTGAATACACCATGAAAAGTCATAGCACACTTCAGTTCCAAGCTGTGCTTCAATGCAGATTATCAATACTCACCTCACGCATATTAGCTTCCAAAGTGCAAATATATTGCCAGAGAAGGGCCTGGGCTTTTACATCCAACCACTGCTCCCGGTTTTCTGTAGATTCTGGGACAGACTCCAGAAGTCGAAGGCAATCCTGCACTGCATCTAGAGCGGTGCTAAAACAAAGACACAATAAAGTTAAGCGGAAGGTCTCACGGTATCTGAAAAATTAAAATCTTTCTGCAATATTACTGGATTCCATTATGAAGTGATGTAAAGGTGGCCATACACTGTACAACCATCGTAAGACCTTAGTCTTGCGATGGTTGTAAAGTGATTAAAAAAAACGTACGATCTGCCCATCTTGGACAGGCAGATCGTACTCTCGATCATCGCAATCTTCCGATGACCGCAATGCTGAATGGGCAGTGTGCGCGTGCGCACACCGGCCCGTTCGGCATTTGTCTCCCGAGCACCGTTCAAACCAGCCGAAAATCGTACGATTTTCGGCTGGTGTTCTAGCGTGCTCCTTAAAAGACGTGTGACCGTACAGTAGAACCGGTCACACGTCTTCGTTCACACTGCTCGATTCTCGTACGAGAATGGAGCAGTGTATGGGCACCTTAAGACCTGGTTGCCCTGGATCTCTACTCACATGTCCACTGATTGTGTCTGTGCTTACATTATACGATGAACTGTGCCAATTTTTCAGGTTGAGGCCGCCTCAGGCTCCCTTGTTTCTTATTCTATTTTTCCTTTTCTTTGCACTGTTCTGCTTTTATTCTTGTTATGTCTTTCTCATTTTGTGACATCTGCCTGGGTGGGCCCTAGGTCTTCTTTTGTGCCTTATGGGGTCGGTATGTACTAATCTCAGTTGCACATGTGGGTCCAGTAGTGTTTGCTGAATTGCCAAGATAACTATTATATAACCGATATGTACTGGTTTATTGAATTGTGACCTATTCCTTCCACTGTCTATTATGATGTACCTCTTCATACATTTTAAACTTTAATAAAAAAATATTGAAAAATAAAATAAAAGGCAATAAAGCAACATGCTTAGGCGTATTATATTAGCTTTTAAACTAAAATGACAAAATGTTTCCTGTGCCAACAAATATTTTTAGCTAAATAAAAAAACAAAAATCATATGCTTTTGGCTTAATTTGTTGCAGTCTTCGCTGTCAGGTAACATACCATTCAGTCTGTCCTGAGTAGTCATGATAACACAAAACCTGGGCTAGCTCAAGCAGGAATGGGGCACGATGATGATGTAGTTGGCTGTTCTCAGCACACAGCTCCAGCAAATCACAAATAGTATTATAACGCTCCTGCCCTGTATCACCATGAACAGATTTGTAGCCTTTAAGCTCTTCTGCAAGTAGAGAAACCATCAGCTCTGGATCCACAGGGTGATCAGAGAAGCCATCCTTCAGCGTTCTATATATCACAAAGGTAAATGCAGAATGGCCTCATATTAGATTGACAGTAGAATCATTAAGCTCCATCAGCTGAAGACATCTTGCGGTGACTAATTACTTACTGCAGTCTAAGATCTTCATCTCCATTCTTTGCACCATCAATTTTGAGTCGGACCCAGACTGCAACAGGCTCGGCCATTTGCTGCAAAACGTGACCTTGCAAAGCTCGTAGCCAGAGAGTCACAGCTGTGAGGCCAAGAGCCGTGTAACCAGCTTTCCGGTAACTCTCTACATGCAGCTTAAAACAACGGTGCAGCTGAAAGAAACCAAACAAGTTAGCATGTAGCCACTAATTAAATGGCAGGCTGTGTAATACTAAACAGCAACAGGTCGATATGCTTTTATAAGGGTCATTATTCAATATCAGCAGTTCTTTACTTACTAAAGTTAGCCTTTTATTTTGCCTTAAGAGCCAAATACTTAAGCTGGCCATACGTGTGAATTTGGCCGGTTGTCGATGAACCTTACGAATTTCGCACAGTGGGTACTGCCGTCAGCACCCGTTCGGCCGGCATCCCTTGACCAGCTGATTGAACGAGGCGGTCGAAAAATCTTTGAACGAACAAGGCAGGCAGCCAATGAGCTGCCGGCTCTGTTCAGGTATTCTGACATCGGCAGATTCTTCAATCAATGCTCGTATGCGTTGAAGGAACCGGTTATATTTTCTTTGTTCAGCCAACAGGTTAAAACAAAGAAAATTTTACAGTGTATGCCCAGCTTTACTGACCCCCTAATCAGTGATGTGGAGACTGACACAGCAAATTCCTGCTAAAGATGCCTATGCAGTTCTATGAACAGGGAATGGAGAACCTTTAACAACCAGTCTATCTCACCATGTACTGAACTAGACAAAGCTCCAATAACTCTGAACAAGAGGAAAGGTGGAAAGTGCAGCAATTTACACTAGCACCCCACTTGGGGAACAAAATACTCAATCTGAGTGCAGAACCTCCTTTAGCTACACTTATTTGGCTTGTGTAGTTACCAGCAAGCACAATTCTCCAACCCATGTCTTTAAAGGAGAACTATGGGATCAGGGCTTTTCCCCATAGTTCTCCTTAGGGTAACGGGAGGACACAAACTAGCTTCCTCCCGTCACCCTAAGCTCAGTATACCGCGAGCTACAGCTCGCGGTATACCGAGACACCGCAGCTGGAGCGGATCCCGTCATCGATGTCGAGATCCGCCCAGCTGTGTGAGTGACAGCTGGCTCTGCCCATCTAGAGGAAGAGCCAGCTGTACACGCCCCCTCCCCCGTCCGTTCTGCCAGTCAGCGCTGGTGGATCAGAGCGGGGAATTCAGCCCCTCCCCTGTCACGGCAGAAAGTCGTGACAGGATCGAGAAGTAAGATTCAGTCAGACAGTGAGCATTTTTATAAGGAGGTCAGCAATACCAGCTGCCATATTTCCCTCAGTACAGGATTGCTTCAGGTTACAGATGAGGTGTGATCTACAGAATAATAAACATATTGGACCCATTGCTCCCATCCTCATGAAAGTATTGATCATAGGAGACCACATGTACCCTTTCCACAGCCAATTCAGGTTCGCCCTCAGGACGTGCCGCTGCAAGATATTCACAAAGCGGAGACACCAGGTCAGAGGCTTCCTTGTATTTCTTCTGGCTATAGAACCAGTAGGCCAAATTATGCACACATGATGCTGAAGAGAAAAAAAAAAAAAATACAAAAAATAAATGAATAATGAAGCATTGCACTACAGCAAAACGCAAGTGAACACACAATGAATACCAAACACTTCCAAATGTTGAAGGGGTTGAGTGGCTCCCTGGGGGTCAGTGAGGTGCATGCTGGCCAAGACCACCTTTGTTTTCCAAAACTTTATGGAACCATCCCAAGCAAAGAGTTAGGAATAAAGATTATGAAAATAGGTAAGAAAATGTCTGCTATTGGGGAACCAGGAATATAGTTGTCCTCATCTTTACTTCGGGCTAAGGCCTTGTTCACACCAAGCGCATTCCAGGAAGGAAATTCAAAGGAACATGGCAGACCAGAAGGTATAGAGGCCAAATGCAATGATTATATTTCTTGAATTAGAATACCCAAGTATTTAAATTCTCAAAAGTTATACTCGGTAACACTTTTAGGAACTACCTGTTATGTTCAAAAATTCTGCTGCATCTTGACCAGAAAGCCCATTGACCGAAGCCAGCATTTTGCATACTGTGTCTTTACAAGCGTCGACAATAGAACACAACTCATTAGTCAGGCCCTGGGGAAAAATAAGAAAAGTAAACATATCACACATTCATTTCTAAAGAAACCAATTTACACTTTAATGTTATTAAAATGTACCTTTGTAAATCAATTAGCATTCAGTTATAATTTACTTATTTCCTTTAAAATAGAAAATGAAAAGCATTTTTGCACGGTTTTTAAAGGCAACTCCTAAGACAGTCTTTGGAGATGACATAGAATGAAGGCAGTACCTGCCACTTACTAATCAGCCCAATAAAAGCTGGGCTTGTATAAATATTTCCAGTAAATGAATGGTAGTACAACGGGTACTGTGAATGCAATAGTTTGTTATAGGATATCCAAAAGGGGGGGTTTTGTAAATCACATCATATAGTTTTACAGAGGGACATAAAGAATAGAGAGACTGCAGAAACACCTAGAGAATTACATCAGTTTTTCTCATCGGAGTAGAATAGCGACAGCCAGCTTTGCAATTACAAAACCTACCAGGTAAACTACACTGAGATACACAGCACAGAGTGGGCTATGCAGGAAAATGAAAAGACTCCAGGCTCAAGTCACTTGGCCCAGACCACATAATACCCATCTATAGTGCCCTGATGTTGCAACGCAATTCGTTCAAAGGATATTAAACGATCCAACTCCTTAGTCCACACTGCCACAGGTGGTGGAACAGGGGTTACACAGTGCAATGCAAGCACCTGGCAGGCAGCAAACAGTGCTCTGAATATAGCAACAACAGTTAAAACAAACCCAAGTCAAAGGACTCAGACACCCAATATGCAGGAAAGCGAAATGTTGGGGATAGACGTTGCAACTATGTATTTAAAAAAAAACCATGACTTCATGCCAGTATCATTTCAATTTGGGACACCATCATAATAGATTAAATTAAAGAACCAGGTTCAAGACCACATTTCAGGCATCTCAATTCATCTAGGAGACCAATTTTATGAGGAAATTCCGGGGTGCAATTTGTTCTATATAAAATTAATAACTGGCTTAGACGATCAGAAGCCGACACCATGTGCCATATGAAAGGCCTCCTCCCAAACCCCATCCTCCTCTATTTCCCAACCCATTCTACATTTCAGTGGATATTTCTGTAAACAAAACTGGAAATAAATGAAGATACATAGATACCTAGGGAGGCACAGTGGCGTAGTGGTTAGCACTCCTGCCTTGGTCCTCAGTTCAAATCCCAGTCAGGTCACTATCTGCAAGGAGTTTGCATGTTCTCCCTGTGCTTGCGTGGATATCCTCCAGGTACTCCCACACTTCAAAAGACATGCTGCAAGCTGGTAAATAAGCCCTAATTTGTATGCATGTGAGATAGGGACCTTAGACTGTAAGCTCCTTGAGGGCAGGGACTGATGTGAATGTGCAACGGTGTAAAACGTTGCGTAAATTGTTTGCGCTATATAAATACCTATAATAATAGAAATCGCGCCCTTCGTAGAAGTAGCATGAAAAAAAGCACATCTAGAACTTTAGCGGGGCAAACCATCACACCACCTATCCCCAGGTAGATAATGCAAGTCTAAGCTGTAAAACTGATTGTTATGCAACAAATACACTGACAGTAAATGCTGAAAGGATTGAAGGGCCAAAGTATTTCAAGATTGTTTTAGGTTTATTTTACCAGCTAGCAGTATGCAGCACTCCTGTTTGCCAAAGCGAGTCCACGCACCTCCTAGAAACAAGGCATCCTTCCCATAATACCAGTTCCAGATTACAAAAGCAATTGACCACCCACCCAGCCTATGGTCTAGCTGTAAAAATGGGACAGCATTATTTCCCCCTCCTCCCCCCAAACATCAAAGGGTGTTACTGATGTCTAGTCCTCAGGCCTAAATTTATCAGCTTCTGGTTAACCTGTCATTTGGATATCTCAAATTTTTTTAAAGGAAATATCTTTAGTACACTGTTAATAGAAAAGATATATATATATATAGATATAATGTATGTTCAATAAAACCCCCAGCCTGAACTGTACCTGCAGGAAACCTGTGCTCTAGAACGCCTTACCTTAGAGCTTTGCAAGAATGAGCACGCCACATTAGTAAACTGCTGTGACACTAGACAGAAAGAAATATTATATAATGGATATCTTCACGTCATCTAGTGGTCTGAAATGCCTATGAACACGGTGTAATAAAACATAAAACACAAGCAACAAACCCTGGCTATGATAGAATAATGCCACCCCAGTCTGTAACAGGAGCCAAAAGCATTAATGTACCCAGTGGTGTATTTATGCATTTGGCTGCCCTAGGCAAGCCAAGCTTCGGCTGCCCCCGGCACCTTACTAGCACCCCCCTCCCCCCCAGGGGGTGCTGGAACTCTACCCCCCTCCCCCCCAGGGGGTGCTGGAACTCGTTTTCTGAGTCACGATCCCATCCGTCGGCTGCGCTGTCCGGCTCCATCCGTCCTCCCACCCTCTTAACAAGCAGGCAAGCCGCCCTCCACTCCTACACAGACGGGCTCCGGCTCGCCCCTCCTCTTCACAACATAGGCGTTTGACTACGGCCGCCCCCCAGGAAGGTGCCGCCCTAGGCAAACGCCTACTTTGCCTCGCGGTAAATACGCCCCTGAATGTACCATACATAGCTACATATTGGGAACACATAGAAAAAGCACAATTACTGCAGAGATCAGGCCATTTGCATGGGTACTTGCCTTAAATACAATCTTCAAAGAAAACACTAGAGATGTGCATTCAGTTTGGAGAGTGTTTATTATTTGGGTTTGACCTTTTAACCAGTAGAGTTGTCAGTTACGGGCAAAAAAAAAGGGAGGTACCGGCAAAATCACAATGGTGCCACTCAGGGGCTCCAAGCCATCGTTTTTGTTCTATACAGGCCTGAGAAGAATAAATACTGTCAACTTTCTATTGCTGTCCATGACCCCAGTGAGGAAATTTAATGACCCCAGTGAGGAAATGTAACCTCTCCTTCTGACAGCAGGGTAACAAATTAGGGGAGCAGTTTTCACAGGAACAGTAACAATTGCCAGACAGCGGTGCCTCCCATGTTTATTGAAAAAATAAAACAAAAAACAGAAACCCAACATCTATCCCCTCCCCAATCAAAGACATGCTGGAATTGTACTTGAGAGCAGCTAAGCTCAAATGTTGTTCTATACCTAGTCTCTATGGTAGACAACATACATACCATAGACACTTGCTTATCCAGAAGTTTAAAATGCATATCAAGAAACTTTCTCAGGCTGAGCAGTCTGCGAGCACCCTGAGTTTCTGAATGTCCAACATGTTTGAAATAGCCATCTAAAGAGGAAACGGTGAACTGACAGCAAGTGCACAGAGCCTGGCACTGCCAACCTTCCCCAGAACCGCAGGCTTCACCAACATCTTCTGCAATTTCCACTAAACGTTTCTCAACCTCACGTGGCTTCTTAGATTCCTGAATTTCTATGGAGAACTTTAAAAGTTTGAATCCAGAGAGGCAGCATCTATCAGACGCATTCAAACTTGCAATTGCTTGTTGGACAACCTCTTTGCTCTGGTCAAAGCAGCTGCCTTTACAGAGAACACGAATCCTCTCCACTGTCAATTCCAACAGGCATTTAGCCCATGAGTGGGTCAAAGTTCCAGATCCTTTTAAGGGTTTTACCAGCAGTTCTTCTATACTCTGACTCAGAAAACAGGCATCACTCTGACTGCAAAGCATGCTTTTGGATTCAAAGGCTACAATAGCACACTTGGCATGCTGATGTGTTGTAATGGGAGATCCAGCATGTGAATTGGTCTTTTCCACCAACATGAGAAATCTCAGAGCATGAAGTCGAAGGGATAAAGCCTCTCGGTTGAAAGGACATGGACCCCGCTTTTGCTCTTGTTCAATCACAGCTTTCCATAGACACTGGAAGCTACTTTTAGCTACTGCTAAATATTCGCCATTATTCTGCAGCTCTGGAGGACATCTACTGAGGTAGGAGTAAAGAAGATCCGACAGTTGGATGCAGGGTTTATAAGAGGATTCCCGTGTAGAAACATTTTTCAGAAGATGAAATTGGATCTTCTCCAGGTAGAATGGTGTACGCTGGGCACCTGAGACATGGAAACCCCGACTTGCAAGTTCTGCCAAGGGCATCAAACTACTTAAGTGTGGACCAAGACAAGAACTCTCTGCTACCCAGTGATTACAGGCACGAAGTACACGGTCACACACAACTCGTTGATCTGACAGCTGATCTGGCTTTGAGGGATCACTTGGGACATCTGACAGGCAGGACTAGAAGACAAAAAAAAAAAAACACATTGCATTAGAAATTTGTTTTTATAAAAATCGAACAAAATTAGAGTTCAGACAAATATTCAGAAGCTTCCCCATGAATCTCGAAAAGCTTCCCCATGTTGGGGGAAGCTGTACGCTCAGATTTGTAAGCGCCACAAGATAGATAAACTTGTATTTTTGACATAAGACCAGGTCAGAGGACCATTATATACCTTTTGAAGAATGGTGGTGGGGAGGGGGGATTGGGAGGGCTACGTTTTTCATTATGGTTCGTGGATGTGGGCGGGCGGAGAGTGTGAGGCGGGAAGGAGGTGCGGCGTGTAGAGCGTGGATGCGGGCGGGTCTGGCAGCGGTGAACGTGAGTTGGGGAGGAGGTGCGGCGCGCGTTTGTGGACCCGTGAACAGGGCCAACTGATCGGAAGCCGATTAATCGATTATTGAAAAAGTTGACAACTTTTTCAATAATCGATTATAATCGATTATGTCGATTAGTTGTTGCAGCCCTATTGGACACTAGTAAGACATATAGTTCTCAGCAACTACAATAGAGAGCTTTCCCTATTACAGCACCCATCTGCCTCAGAGATAAGCTGAAAAACTCAAGGAGGAAGAGAACACATTGTAATAGCCACTGTGGGACAGGATAAATGAATGTACTTGGTGACATAACGTTCCAATAAACAAACTCTTTGGACTGCAATACTGGTGGTGTGCCGGTGACATTTATTCATCTTTATGCTGTGTGGCGGCACCAGCCGCAGGTCACTACAAGCACCCGCCCTCATTCAATTTTGGGTTTGTCCGGTAAGGAGTGCGACAACGTTATGTCACCAATCTTTTTGTTTGTCCAATGAATGTACTTATCACAAGGCAGCTTGATCAAGCTACTTTAAAGCGGACCTTTACCCCCCTTTCACTAAAAATCACAGCAGCTTGCAGCTCTTACATTCATTAGTTAAACTTGTTTATCCATTTACTTACAAATAGAGTTCAGCTACTTCCTGGTCCACTTCTATAACAAATTATGTAATGTACCAAAGCATTGCATCTTGGGAAGGTTACATCAGCAGAGCATTGCTGTGAAATCTCATCTGTAATCTTACAAGATCTCAGGGAAAAGGCATTTTCCTCCCCTGAGATGTGTATAGTCACATGTGCCAGATTTTTAGGAGAGAAAAATAATAATCTAGTAATCTGCCCTTAGTAAACATGGCTACTGTCAGAAGACTGGGGCAGAAAAGAGAAACAAGGTATGCAAAGAATACAAAACAGACAATTATGTAGAAGTACAGTATGTGTTTGTAGATTGTCATTACTAAACATATCTAAAAAGGTGTTTGTTATTTTAAAAAAGGTACGAGTAAAAAGGTCCACTTTTATTTATTTAATGTGGTTGATGTGTTTCCTGTTGCAGGCAGGCGGAGCCTATATCTCGATGGCTGTCCTGGAAGATGACTGGGGAAAAAAGTTTAGAACTAGGATTTTTCAGTATTGTTTTCAATATGTTGTCAACTCCAGACATCTCTACATTCCAAGTATGCATGTTTTAGACACACAGCCTTTGCATTTAAACACAACACATGTAACATCACAGTTGCTAAATAGTTAGTACTCTTGCCTGGGTCCAACTTTAAAAACACTATTTGCATGTTTCTGCGTGGTTTCGCAACAGATGCTTTGGTTTTCTCCCAAAATACTTACTGGTAACTTGACTAGCTGAGTCTTAAGGTCCACACACACCTTACGATAATCGTACGAAAATCGTGGGAAATCCCGCGATCGTACGATTATCGTAAGGTGTGTGGAAGCCGTGCGACCTCTACTACTGTAAGGTCGCACCACTTTAAACTAACGGACATGTTTCAAAACCCGCCGAGCATCGTACAATGTTCGGCAGGTGTGAAGCATGTTCGTGAGATAAAAGCCAGACGGGCCGGTGTGCGCAAGCGCACACTGCCCATTCGGCATTGCGGTCATCGGAAGGCCGCCCCTCAAGGGGCGTGACTTACGATCATCACAAGTACGATCTGCCTATGCAAGATAGGCAGATTGTACATTTTTTTTTAAGTACCTTACAAACATCGCAAGACAAAAGTCTTGCGATGGTTGTAAGGTGTTTGCAAAGTCTGCAGCTGAAAAAATATTAGCTCTTTTGAATTAGGTGCACTTGTATAGTCAAAAGGAAATAGAATATGAATGCAAGCACATCAATAAGAAACCTGTCAGTCATTGAGGTGTGCCTAAAATTAAACCAATATCATTTGTCTGGCACTTGAGCTGCCTGCATCTAATAGTAGAAGGACCAAAAAAAGAACATGGTAGTGAGGGAGGGGGGAATTATGGTCTGGTTAAGGAATGTCCTGGTTCGTGTTGAGGGTCGGGCTAACCCATTGGTATGCGGACATGAGGTGAGCAAGGAAAAGTTGTTTCAAGACACCTTTTCTGCTTTCCCAAGAACGATGCATTTTCCTGGAACCAGTATGTGGTTTGCGGGTCAAATGAAGGCAGCTGCCAGTGGAGTTTATTAGCTTTTACATGCAGCACCTTTAAACAGTAGCTGTACTTTTATAATGCAACCCCTATACCGCCCCCCCCCC